CATTAGTGATGCCCGCGTGTTAGTAGAGATCGGTTGGTTACTTAATTGAAGCAGTCACTGGAGCAGTTGTGTGAGTGATGCCCGCGTGTTAGTAGAGATCGGTTGGTTACTTAATTGAAGCAGTCACTGGAGCAGTTGTGTGAGTGATGCCCGCGTGTTAGTAGAGATCGGTTGGTTACTTAATTGAAGCAGTCACTGGAGCAGTTGTGTGAGTGATGCCCGCGTGTTAGTAGAGATCGGTTGGTTACTTAATTGAAGCAGTCACTGGAGCAGTTGTGTGAGTGATGCCCGCGTGTTAGTAGAGATCGGTTGGTTACTTAATTGAAGCAGTCACTGGAGCAGTTGTGTGAGTGATGCATGCGTCTGCTGCTCTGTACAGAAACGGCTGCTCAGTGCGATGTGGCCGGTGCTGGATCAACTCAGCAGCGAGGAGAAGGCTCGCAACAGACACAGTGGACACATGCTCTACGAATACTCAGACCAGCCGCTGGGCACCTACCAGTCGCGGCTGCCTGCCCTCTTCCCAGACGTCGTCAACAACAGGGCCAGGTGAGGCAGTTAGCGTGCGAGCGAAGAGATCTCATTGCAAAAAATTCGAACGGAAAGTAAGTTGTGAAGTCGTACCAGGAAGACCGTCGAGAACACTTTGTGACGAGCGACCTTGTGCGTTCATTCTCCCCAGGTGCAAGGAAATTGACAAGGACGTCTTTAAGATTGACAATCCGGCGGCGATTAGGAAGGGCCTGCTGCCGGGGGTGAAGCTAGACGTGTACTACTCCGGGTTTCCGTCGCTGAGACACGTTCCCCACACGGTGAGCACGTGGTCTGACCACGACAGTCATCGCTACGTTGACGGCAGGAGGCAGCGCCGCAGCGCGAGCCTTGCTGATCGTAACTGCCGCTGCAAACGTAGAATCTCATGAGGTTGACGTTAGATGTGTCGACCGGCAGTGTAACTACATGTATCCGTAGCGACTAGGGGGGCTTTCATTGGAAGCCAGTGCACGGCGAATTCAGTCGCCTCCTTTTGCTCGTATGGTGTGTATATGTCCTACAGGCAGCAGCTGCTTAACGCGATGCCCATAAAGGAATAATGTGTCTCTCTAATCTGCACTGTTGACGATTAATATAATAACTGGATTAGAATTTCGAATTCGAATTGTAAACAACTTCTGACAAATGCATGTGGTTTACAATTGAGCTTTTTATTAGTAACCAGCAGTGAAATTGCACAAACTAACATGAATATGATTGTAAGTTTATATACTTATAAATGACACAATGTGTCAGTTCATCAAGCATTCGTCAACAGTGCGGATTAGACAGACATATTGAGGTTTTAAACTTCAGGGGCCTCATCTTATCTATCACTTGATACTCGTGGGCCTGGGATTTTAAAAACAGACATTATAACAATATTATGACAATAAAAAACCCTGACAAAGACAGCGAGTCGACTGCTGAGTGACCCGGCGTGCATGCGACCTCCATCATCGTACGCTACTGAACTCCCCCCCCCCCATCTTGCAGGCCGAGCTTCGCAAGGCAGGCGTCAAGGTGTTCCAGATGAACAGCCGCAGCGAGAACATGATACTGAAGGTCAGCACGGGGTCGACGGTGGGACCGGTTCAAGAGGTTGCGAGGTCACTGCTCGGCAGCAGTGTGCACGCACAGTGGCCGCACTTGTACGAGGCACTCGTCGTCGCTATCTCCGACGGATGCACGAAGTATGCAGTGATTAGGCACATTGGTTTTATTGGGACCCATGTTCTCTATCCTTGGGCCGCAGATTGCAGGGTCTTTATGAATACAGCAGAATGGTGGTTGGAGCCGAATTTATTGCCTGAGTGTTGTTAATGTGGTTAAATCCGGTAGTAAAGTTTACAGGCATCTTCTGACATGCGCTGTAGACTTTGATGTTTTACAATAAATTGTCCTAGTTTTCATTGGCACTGATATCCTGATGGATTGCAGCTGAGTGACATGTATGGCTATGCTACATTTTTGTAAGCATGGCTATCGCCAAGAAAGGGTCGCATCTAGATCATAGCCAGGATATGCACGGTATCTGCGCATGCGTTAAAATTATAGTATGTTTTGCAAGGGCGCATGCGCAGTAGTCATCTGCGCATCTCGCCCATCGAAAACGGTCGCAATAAACAAACATGGCGGCCAACCCGGTCACTCATGGAAACATTTGATTGAAACAATTTGCAATGTAATAAGTTAGTAAGACTGTTAATGTTATATGTGTGTCAGGTTACAAGGTGAAACAAAAAGAAAACAAAAAAGCATGGCTACTATTTCATACGGCCCTGCAAAACAAGATTCAAACAAAAAGAAAACAAGAGAAAAACAAAAGTGCATGCGCACTTAGGAGCATCCAGTTTCGGGCGAGCATCCAAACTCTACGGGGCACCGCAATTCTTGCTTACTTGTTTAGCTATCGTGCACTTGTTTATATCACGTGGAGGGATTGACCAATCAAAATGATTGCCATGCATGACGTCCTACTATAATTTTAACGCATGCGCAGATACCGTGCATATCCTGGCTATGATCTAGACTCGACCCCAAGAAAGGATGCAGTCAGTAATCTCAGTATAAAAGGGTTATACAGTATTTTATCAATATTATTTATTTTGCAACCTATTCTATTGAATGAAAGTGAAGATGTAGCATATAAGTCCCTAAAAAAGGATTGCTGTGTGATTTGTAGTCAAATTTTGTGGGTTTTTATTTATTTTCACGTATTTTTATTTATGTTCAGATTCCAGAATTTGATAACCTGTATCTGGATATGAATGGAATAATTCACCCTTGCTCGCATCCCAATGATGATGATGCTCACTTCAGAATTTCAGAAGAAAAGATATTCCAGAATATATTTCATTATTTAGAGGTTTGTCTTGTATAAAATTCTATCACTTCTTACATCGCAACATTCTATCTGCATAATTTATAAACTGAAAAGTGTATATTTTTCTATGTCATAGAGTTATATGTTATAAGCATAATATAAGTATCTACTAGCTATAACTGACAAGTAACTCTAAATGTTTGCTTACAGTTTGCTTTAAAAGTTCAATTATGCATCACTGAAATGGCTAGCTCAGTTAAAATGCTAGTAAAATAGAACTGAAAGTCGTGGTAATTGTAATTGCTCATTTCGTCTGGTTGCTGCAGGTTCTCTTTAGAAGTATGAAGCCAAAAAAGGTGTTCTTTATGGCGGTGGATGGCGTTGCACCAAGAGCTAAGATGAACCAGCAGCGAGGACGCAGATTTAGGTAACTAGTAAGCGGTTGCCCCATAAAGATTCATCGTCATACAAAATTGTTAGTAGCTTCATGACTAATCAAATTATTCCTTGGCTGATTCTCTTGTTGAGTTCCACACAGTGTTTGCCACTGAGCAAAAAAAGCTATAGGCCTGCAGGGCCTATAGCTCCTAAAAGCTGCAGGCCCGCCAGCAAAGCTGTAGGCCCGCTAATTTTGGAGCAAATTACAGTAATAAAACAGCATATCATGTTCTTCCTTGTGTTTATTAATCATTATCAATGTCTATAATCATAATCCCTTTGTTTTTCCTTCCTCTCGTCGGATGACTGTTTATGCTTCTTTGCCGGGGGCTCACAATTAAGGAAACGCCACATCGTTGTTATATGTAGCTCTTTGGTAATGCCCCAGTCACACATACACAACGCAATCTAGAGCCATTTCAGGGTACTCCAATAGCTTACAACTAGCAACACTTTTTGGTGGAAAAGGGAAAAATTATGTAAAATTTACCTACTGTAAAATTTTGATGGGCACTGGGGAATTCCGTCTGTGTTGAGTGTGTCCAAAGTAAATGTATTTTGTAGACATACAAGCTCTTACGTAGGGAAGCTTTTATTTAGCTACACCCTGTATAAAATGTATATATATATAGTTTTTCCAAACGTTAAAAACAATATGACACGGTTAAACCTGAGTGGTGCGACGAGGCTGTACTGCTGTTTGCATGACTAGCAAGTAATACGACGTGCTTTGCAGCTACAGTGACTTATGACATGTGTGTTAAAACTTGAGACAATTATTATTATTTACTGTATAATTCAACATGATATATTACCTAAATCTTCTTAATATTAATTTAAAACAGTATACTGATCGTTTGTTATAACTACCAGTGATACTTTATTGTTGACATCCAAACGTGAGATGCGCGGGGATGTGAGAATTACTCCACAACCTAGCGCACGTGACCCGTTCACGTAAATAAACCCTGGCCAACACAATGTAGGGCCATCCTTAAAAAATTATATGTTTGCTGTCCTCCGACCGACCCACGAAAATAGCCGCGACCCCCAATTTTTTTTTTGACATTTTGAGTTCCATTTTTTTTTTTTTTACATTCCTCATAGTTAAGACTGAAACACAAAGCATGTGTGGCAAACATGAGGACAGACTTAAAATAACTATTATGCCTCACAAAAAAAGACCTACCTACTCTACCTACCCACTAAAAAAATTATGGGTCGGGGGACAGCAAACATAGAATTTTTTAAGGATGGCCTAGGGTTCACTACCACTGGCCAAAAGTAAGCTCCACCCACTTCTTATCGATTTTTGGTATGCCAATGCTGCTACTGGATTCAGGAACCTGTGCTAACCTGTGCGTCCGAACATCCCACGCATGTTTCTTGAATGCCAACTAAAGTTGATTGCAGTGGCCGAACGCATTGTTTACATGTATATCACGGTTTATCACGGATTAGTTTTCAAATAAATACCCCTGGAAGTTAATATGCATGAACAGATTTCTACAGGTAACAGTTTCTCAGTGTTTCGAATTTTCGGTGATCAAATAGCTGTAGGATCAGCGGGCCTGTTTTATCAAGAAGCTGTAGGCCCGGCATCGAAACTGTCGGCGACGGGCCGACGTGAATTTCGAACACTGGTTCCACAGGTGTTTTTAATCTGCACCACTAAGACAGTAAATTTGTGCTTCGGTGGGTATTGAATATTATGACAATCTGTGACTGTCAGGTCTGCAAAAGAAGCGGAAGAGCTCATTAAGCAGGCATTACAGAAGGGTGAGGCACTTCCTTCCGAGGAGAGATTCGATTCCAACTGTATTACACCAGGTGAGTAATATCGCCTCATTTCGTACATAAGGCTGCCATTGAAATCACTGGTATTTTTAATTTGGCTAATTATTTGATAGCTTTACGGTCTCGCTTAAGAGGTCTATTGCTCCTGACTTGTGTCAAGAATATATATGCCCATGTAGAGTCATTGAAAGATTTCTTTACTGCAATGGCCTATAGGAACAAATAAAATAATGTTTAAAACATGTTAAGTGTGATGTGGTGTGATGTGAGGATGTTTACTTTCTCTCCTCAGGCACGTCATTCATGGTCAAACTCCACGAACAGCTAAAGTACTTTGTTAATATGAAGATCACACATGATAAGATGTGGCAGGGTCTTAGAATATACCTGTCAGGTCACGAGGTAGGATAGTATGTACCGCAGTGGTCCCAGCTTTATTGGAACAGGTTGGAAACCGTGAAGATGTTCAAATTGAAGCGTGGTCCAGTTTAAGCGGTAATGACATCACAACGTGCGCAAGGATTGTTTTTCAAAGAAACGTCGTTTAAGTGATGCACCTGTTTATACAAGGTCCAATAAAGCAGAGACCACTGTATTACATTTCTATTGTGACAAACAGCATGATGGTTTAGTCGATGAAGCCGATGCATGAATAAGCGTAAACATTTGAAGTTTTTGCATTTCAATTAACTGCGTCTGTTAAAAATGTTAAATATAGGAGATTAATTTTTAGAAACGCCCGATCTGCCAAACTACATTTTCATCAAACTCTGTGTAGTTAGAGCATGCATAATCTTTTTGCATAAATTATAATTTGGACGTGCACTAATTTCTAGACACCGGGAGAAGGGGAACATAAAATCATGCAGTTCATACGCCATGAAAAATCACAGCCTGGTTATGATCCAAATACGCGCCACTGCTTGTATGGACTTGACGCAGATCTGGTAAGAGAGTGTGCCATGACGCTAATCTTATTCTGTGAGTGTGCATTGTAATGCTTGCTGATACCAGGTAATAGGCGTTTTCACTAGTAGCAATTGCACTGTACTTGGGCTTGTTATTATAAATATCATTATTCTAATAATTATTCTTCATCTGAAATTTTATTAAATAGTAAAGATTGTAAGATTGTAAAGAGAGTATAAAGTGTGGATCGATTATCATTCCAGTTGGTGATTGTAAGATGCATGCAATTGCAATTAGTTCCATGTCATAACCAGCTCAGCAGGGGCAGTTTTTATAGAAGTTTTATTATATTGAGGTGTTGAGGTGACTGTCCATTGTTTCAGATCATTCTAGGCCTGGTATCGCACGAACCACACTTCTCGTTGCTCAGAGAAGAGGTGAAATTTGGTGGAAAGTCACAGAAAAGGTTTTTGTTTTGTTTATATAAATCTATCGACTCTTCATGTCTCCTATTATTCACTTTTACTTTCACATCCTACAAACTCTACGTACGTATTCATCTGCTGATTAGAGCTGTTCAGGTGTGATGGCCAAGTGTTGCCAGGCTAGCCAGCTCACGTTCCGGAACTTTGTACATGAATTCGTTTTTGATTCCCAATGTGACCTCATGCTCTCTGTTCACGTTCATGTTCATTCATGTTCACGTTCATGTTCATTCATGTTTACGTTCATTCATGTTCATGTTCATTCATGTTCACGTTCATGTTCATTCATGAAGAGAGAGAGAGCGCGCGCGCGAGAGCGAGAGAGAGATAGAGAGAGAGACAGAGCGAGAGAGCGCGTGGAGAAAGAGAGAGAGAGCGAGAGAGAGAAAGAGAGAGAACGGGCATGGGAAATGGGCATGGGGGTGGGGGGAGACGGAGGAAGATTAGAGGTACGAACCAAATCGAAATTATTTCTAAACGTGATAATCGCCCCCCTCGCCAACTACGAGCTAATACAGGGACCGTGCCGCGCTAACAAACACAACACGCAGTCGCTCCATAGACCAGTCGCCGGGCCACTGTTCCGGGATGTTTTCCTCCTGTGGATATTTAGGACGCTTCTGCTGTTAAGGCAACCTGACAGGCATTCAGAGGCCCTCTATTCACTCCATCTCTTTCGCATAGCTGTTGCTAAGAGACGGTAAATGCCGATTCCCCGCCCGCCAGTGCTCTTTGCAATACTCCCCATCACTTACAATCGACCTCCAGCGTGTGTTGCCAGTAGCAGTGCCAGTGCAGTGGCAGCCAGCAGTGACTGAACCAACGATACATCACGGTTCAAGGACTATAACTTATAAGCACGGACATAATAAATTTTTGCAATCTGTGACCACAGTCACTTGGGACTGAGTCAGTGAAAACTGAAAAGAATAGTCTGTGTATCAACTTGCTGTCACAAAAACTAATGCAGAACTAGCCGCTCCTACAGTCGCCGCTGCGAGTGTGCTGTGTCGCCATTATAATGATATATATAGAAGGTAGGGAACCCTGCCACGCGATTTTCGACGATCACTCCTCACTTCTTTCAGATTTCTAAAATTGTTAACGCCTCTACGACCTCTATTTTTGGCTCGTTCTTTTTGCACGACAACCTTTTCACTATTTACGGTCGTGTTACATAGAAAATCGAAGAAATACCTAAAGCCGTCGCTTTATTAACATCTTACCTACATTACAAAACACTTGCCATGCAGTATTCTCCTCTTTAATCACGTTTATTTTATTAAAATATCACGACATAAAAATCATGCAAACTTCGCTACACACAAAACTGCCAATCTTGCATTGAACCGCACCTGACAGCGTCACAGCGATGATTTCATTGGTCGGGGAGAAATGTCGTTGTGCGGTTCAATGCAAGATTGGCAGTTTTGTGTGTAGCAAAGTTTGCGTGATTTTTATGTCGTGATATTTTAACAAAATAAGCGTGATTAAAGAGGAGAATACTTCATGACAAGTGTTTTGTAATGTAGGTAAAATGTTAATAAAGCGACGGCTTTAGGTATTTCTTTGATTTTCTATGTAACACGGCCGTAAATAGTGAAAAGGTTGTCGTGCATTTTGCACGACAGAATTCACAGGTTTTGTCTATGGAAGGGTATTGGGCCCTAAAATAACATCAGAATATAACATTTTTTAGGGCACAATTTATTGGTCTAGACACGAGCAAGCAGTCGCCCGGTCGATTTTCTAATCGCCAATGGCGACTGGGCGACCGCTAGTTTCTCACGCTGGTTAGGGTTAGGGAAATAAGGGTATAATAATAATTTTAATATGATAATATTATACTATATAGGGAAATAAGTAAAATAGGAACTAGTGCTGCCACATAGCGGCACCCTTCATCTACTCGCGGGGGAAAGTGACACCCACAGGCTACGACCTACGTCACTACTCTAGACAGTACACGGCATACGATATACTACCCCGGGTACCCCCAAGTACCCCTTGGGGTAGTAACTAGTATCTATTATGGGCATACACGACGCCGACGGAACCGAAGCGGCGAAGGCGAATGCGACGGCCCAAGGATAGAGAACATGGGTCCCAATAAAACCAATGTGCCTAACCCTAATTCTAACCCTAACCCTAACCTATTATATTGATATAATATTATATTTATATTGATGTAAATGACATTGGTTTTATTGGGACCCATGTTCTCTATCCTTGAACCAATGCGGCCGCCGACTGGAGTTCGTCGTCGTATTCTATATGAATTATTATTCATAGCCTACCATATGCGTCGGTATTGACTTGAAAAATTCCATTATCCTCGACGCGTTTATCTTGAGTCAAAACAATGACAGGTAAACAATAAACAGTTAAACTAACGTGTTAAGTTAACAGTTATGCTAACGTGTTGATTCTTTGCTCACACGTCAGCGTCGCTGCAGCATAGAAAAGCGACCTCTAGGGTGCGCGCGTTGGCTGATTACTGAGCTCGCGTCTTTCTTTGTCCCTCGCTGTACTACAGGTTTTACCCTCACAACTACGCACCATACATGTCGGACATCACCGACTTTGCTGACTTCAATGTTGAGCTGGACATGGGCACGCCATTCCTGCCCTACGAACAGCTACTCGCTGTGCTGCCCCCTGCCAGCAAGAAGCTGGTTCCTGCACCGCTACAGGTAGGCATGTAGCGCTGTTATGAGCAGCAGCCTATGCGAGAGGCAAGAGACTCGATGAATGGCGCGATAAATGTATCTAATGTGTATAACTAATATAACGTATAATATACCTAATGCAGGATGCTACAAAAATTATGGTTACGAAACTGGTTGCCCGGAGGCAAAAGTCACTTGTCCGAAAAACATAAAGAAATACATAAACAAAATTCCAAGATGAATTTAAATGGTAAATAACGTAAATGTATATATAGTCAACATTCAACATTTCACTTAACGGCACAGTAGAAAGTTGAACAGCTGATACGAGTTTGTATACAAAATATATTCATGTTGGGACACAGCAAGCAGTTTGTTTTTAATTTGAAAATTTTTTAAGTGTTAGTTTATTATCAAAAACCCACCACACTCACAATAAATTAATAAAATATGTTCACGTTTATTTGGGGCTTGATCGTATGCGCAGAGAATATAGCAGTGCATGCATGCAGATATAATAATAGATATCATAAATGCAGATATAAGCTGCGTTCACACGAGGATTTCAGTTCCGTACTGAGCGTTCACACGGTAAAAATATTCAAGCCTTATACGCGGCTTAGCAAGTACCGTACTGAAATACGAGGCTTATTCGGCGCGGAATCATATTCCGCGCTGAAGCATTCGGCCCCACGCTGGCCGCGTATTGTCTGTCGTGTGAACGCAATTCGAGGCCTCTTACTGTAGTCCGCTTACCTAGACTGGTACTGGTATGGACACGGTATTTCAGCCGAATTCAGCACCAGATAAGTACGGAACCAGCGAGGCCGTGAATCTCGTGTGAACGGAGCTAAATAATAAACTGACAGCACAGTATATACAGTGTATCTGTTTTTGTGTACTTCAGCAAAGAAAATCCTCGTTCACAGGTTGCATTAAGCCCGGCGCACATTGCCGAACATTTTGCTCAAAAACATCGTAGCAATGTTCCATGAAATGTTCGGCAATGTTCCATGAAATGTTCGGCAATGTGCGGTGAAAAAAGTCGCCGAACATTTGTTCCGAACAATGTTTCTGAAGATCGGAAATGTGTTAACATTCTCATACATTATAAATAACGTTATAAATTCTCGAACATTGTTCGTCGAATGTTCGTCAATGTGCGCTGAATGTCGAACAATTCTAGGAACATTTGTAAAGTAGTAACCAATAGCAGCACGATATGTGGTCACATGATTTTTGTGCCCAATCGTGCGCCGATCACGTGGCTTGTGATCGTGTACGCAACTGCGTATCTGCATATCTGCGCCTAACAAAGGTGTCACTACGCACGACTTAAATGTTACGTTTATAATCGTAGCAACAGACCTAAGATGAGCCCAGACACTGTGCGGCTCGTGTTTGTATATTTTGTCTTGTAATATTTGGATTTTTGTAGAAATTGATGGTGGACGACAACTCCCCTATCATCGACTTCTACCCACCAGAGTTCAAGTCGGACTTGAATGGAAAAAAGCAGGAATGGGAAGCAGTGGTGCTGATACCATTCATTGAAGAGGTGCGTGTTTAGCTCTGACAGCGCACTGTCACTCTGCTCGCTTGTATCATTATAGTGAAGGTGTGCTTGATTTGCCTTGATTTGAACCATTGTATCCCCCGCGACGAAGTCGGCGGAAATACTATGTTTTCATGTCTGTCTAGCTGCCGCCGCTCGCCCCCGCCGCCGCCACAGACACTTTCCCTTTCGCTCTGTAACTCGACCCTCAATTGACCTAGCGCAACCAAACTTGGTATACTTACACATCTTGGGGAGAAGGTGTGTCGCATACCAAAACCAGGTCACTGCGACCTTTATTTGACCTTGACCATATTTCCCTTCTGCTCTATAACTCGGCCCCTAATTCACTTAGCGTAACCACACTTGATATACTTACACCTCTGAGAGAGAAAGTGCGCATTGGCACCTGTCTTTGACCTTTATTCTGGACTTGAAGATAATCTTTCCGACTTTTAGTTTAACCCTTGTCAGGTTGTCAGGTAACCCCTTGGCATACCTTGAGATTCAGAAGTAAACCTTGTATGTTGTAACACCTCAACAGCTTTATCATCCCTGTTTCTCTGTGTGCTAATATAATTACTATACTTTGCATACATTGCCATTGTGTACTGTTTCCTTGTAGCACAGTATTATACAGTAATATTCTTTTTATAGTGTGTTTTTAGCTCATCTGACATAGTCAGATGCAGCTTGTAGAATCGCTTGATCGTCCGTCCGTCCGTGCGTCCGAGCGTCCGAGCGTCCGTGCGTCCGAGCGTCCGA